AAATGTGCAGTGATTTGCAGGCTCATCCATCACATTAATTATTAAATATTAATTTAATATTAATAAAGTAGAAAAATTAAGATACACGAGTTTTATTTATTTTATCTCTTACGAATAGTCATACTTAGAATAGGGCGCCATGAAAATATTTTAACTGAAAAAAGGCGCCGCGACTAGGAAAAGTTTTGGAACCACTGGTCTAGTCAATCTTAGCAATCTTGTCCGATGGCAAATACCCTTTTCTTATATATAACTCAGTACAATATCTCGTTCATTTATCTATACCTACGTGGTTCACAACCTTTATTGCCTGATCGGCATCATTTCTTTGATAAAGCATTATTAATAAGGCAAATCGATTAACGCATGCTTTCAACAATTTATTTCTTTTCAGCAACGTTTCTAATATTTCTCGAACTGCATCGGCACCGTCTCGCCCTGATTCGCTAATGCCAGTTACTGGGCTTCCTGTCTGCCATCAAGGTCTCGGTGATACCGGCGCATTCTTACATTCCCCTCTATCAGGAGAGGCCCGGAAATCTGAGGCCTCGGACGCCACTCCGTCTTTGCCTGATACTATCTCTCAGCTGCAGTCGCCACAGGTTCGCCGACCTCGACGATTTACCTTATCCTTGGCCATATCAACAGCCAATACCACTGCATCGAGAGGCACAGAATTACCTGTAGAGTCTCATTTCTCACCAACTATCACTGCTACAGCTCCTATCCAAACTCTGGGCAGCTGCAGTGGTCGGAGCAGCCTTGTTTTGCCTTCCCCATCTTCCTGGCTCTTAACTGATAGTGAGTCATTTTTAAATAACTTATCGACTAGCAATGCATAAATGTTAGAAAAAGTTTACTAAACCCTTAGAATTAGATAGAGATTGCTTCTTTGCCTGTATTAATCATTTACCAACTTGGACTAAAATACTTTAACGAAACATAAATCTGTTTGTCCAGATGAATGTTTTTGTCATAATTTATTGCTTAAGCAGTGACAAGAAATCATATGAATCGCGAATCTTGTACGGCATAGGTTAGGGGGTCGCCTATAGACTCTTGTGTCAATTTTTTTGCTTCATGATCCCCTATTTAATGATCATTTTTTATAAATTCTCAAGTTGCGTCCCTTTTCTGTTCTATATGTTGCCTATTTGCCCAGGTCCAATGTTAAAAAGCCATCAAACTGGACCTTGACTACATTTGGCACCTGTATCTTTGGATTTTTCAAGTAAAAGAGATTGTTCAATTTTCATTTCACTTGAAAGATAACTACTTAGGCTCTAATTCATTTATGTTTGTTTTTGCCAAAGGTACTTCACTATAAGACTATGGAAGAATTTAAGTATAGTAACCAATCTTATTATTTCTTTAATACTTATCTTTCCTCGTTGTGGCAAGGTGTTCAAGTAACAAGCAATTGGCTTTGCTCCCATTCATTTTTCTGCTAATTCTTCATTTATTATTCAACAGTCCTTCAAATTTAAACATTTTACGACCAGTTTTTAATGTTATTTTTTATAAAGCATACTTGTCAACACTACTAAGATATATATATCTGTGCCAAATTTAATTCTGACCTCAGTGATAAACTTATATATATATATATATACTTTGCACTTGCTCTCATCAAATAACGTTAGATGCAAGTATATATATATATATATCTGCTTATAGGTTTGTATACTTAGACAACATAATAATTAGCTGGCACTGGGTTCACATATACTTTTGAGGACTGACTTTCGTATCTTCTTAATCTTACATTACAAATTGATGGATGGTAATGTGGGGGAGGCATTAGGGGTTTCTCACAAATAAAAACGAAGCATAAGGCTTAACCGTTTCGCATCCCCTATGTTTTTAATTTTTGATATTTTTCAAACTACCCCCAAATAATGTATTATCATTAAACTAAATATTTGCCGATCCAATGACTCACTTAGGTTACGAATAATGGCAAAATTGTGGAAAAAAGAGCAATTTGATTTCGCACGATCCTGGCCTCCTCTGGTCAGGGAGGCAAGATTAAATGAATTTTTCATTTACTAGTAGGTTTTCGAGAAATTCACATCTGCCCTGTGGCCCAAGGGCACTCGTGGCAATGTGGCATAGTGGTTAATGTGTCGAGATTATATGCTGCACTGTCATGACTTGAGTCCCGCTGTATTGATAAGACCTGAACGAGGTCGAAACTGTAGTCCATTCTGAATGAGAATACCTTTCGGGAAGCAAGGCTATATGAAATTCAATGGAACCGTTAGGTCTACCCATATTATTATGGAAAAATTCAACTACAGTTCCCTTATCACCTTAAAAGAAATAGCGTGAATACATCTCATATAAAAGATTAGATGCAATTCAATGGCATTATGAGATCCCATAGGATTTTTGGACAGATCCACCCATTATTCCTTAAATTACCTTGCTCAACTCAAAGTTACTATGGCTCTATGAAATGCTGAGTCTTAAGCCTTGATTAATGCCCTGTCAATATGACGCAATAATCTTCACGAATGAGTTCTCGTTTGCTTGTATGGAATCTCACTATATGAGTCATTCAAATCTTAGCTTATCTCAATAACATGAATTCCAAAAATAGGGCCTAAATACTTCATTACTTAGTCAGCCATAATTTAGAAGCAAACTCCGCAAATTCATCCCTTATGATGACTAATATGCCTATTCAATATTTCGTCTACCTGTTCTGCAGTTAAGTGAATTGTGAAGAAGGCCAAATACATTTTTTAGATGTATTGTCTGGCATGTATGTACTGGAACACCGAAGCACAAAATATTGTTATCCAATTGCGTATTGCAGTAAGACAAACAAATTACGCACAAATTGGTTTTATTCGACATGAGTTATGCTGATTCTTATTCCTCTGTCCGACACCCATTTAAAGTATATAGAAAAACTGGTTTTCGAAGAATCCCTTTATAAATTCATGTTTAATAGGCTAGCAGTAACGAGTTTTAGGTTGTCCTTTTAATTGATAGCCACGTGGAGGTATCGCTAATGAATAATAGAGTAAGCAGCATTATTAAATAACTTAGAGATCAGGAGCAAACTGTTTCAAGGGCAAACAAGGGAGGAGCAATGGTGGTCATGGATAAGATTGGTTGTGTAAAAAAAGTATGCAGGCACTATATAATAATTTAGCGCACAACATTATCAATAAGGACCATACAGAAATCCTGAAGTCTGGACTCGGGGGTTGCCTGCAACATTTTCTAAGAAGGAGGGATTTAGTCAAATGCAGAATGAATAATTCTTCATCGAGATGCCAGAGCCCTGAATGCATATGGCCTGCCCAAGATACATAAAGAAGGAATCCCACTCAAAATTATTGTTAATAATTAAGGGTAGCGTGATGGGTAAAATCTCACGGTATATCTATCAGCAAATAAGGCAAATATCCGAGTCATAACAGTTTTTAATTAGGAACTCTTATGAGTTCGTTCAGTTAGACAATTAACAGAGTATCGAAGGTAGAGGTTTGCTTGTTAATCTTGATGTAGGGTCGATCCACATGAGCATTCCTGTAAGCGGAGCTACTAAGGCTCTAAAAATAACTTTAAGTCGGGACCCGGATATTCTGAGAAATACAAATTTAGGTAATGAGTCAATGATAAGGTTGAAGAATTTAGTGATACTTTTTTTTCAATAGTAGCCTGTATGAACAAACAGGAGACTTAGCTATTGGACTATGTCTGTACCTAATTATAGCAAATAATGGCATGACTTGATTAGTCTCTTAATACAAGAAGCACCTTTGGTTCCTAAATTATTGATTAGGTACATAAATGACTACTTTGCCGTGTATCAACATGGTAAAAGCCTAGGATAGTTTCTAACTTTGATTAGTAGAATCGGCGGGAATATAAAGTTCACAGGCGAACCAGAAAAGGATGGTAGTTTACCTTTTCTAGATGTCATAACAAAGTAGGAAACAAACTGGGTGGCAATGTCTATAGGAAACTCACAAATACAGTATTCCCTTTAAATTTATTTTCAAGCCATACATATGTGGTTAAAGTAGGAATTATGAAATCGATGATAATAAGGAGTCTGCTTCTTGCGGATGTTAACCATTGAGAACAGGAACTGAGAATATTAAGGAAAATTTTGGTTAAATTTGCTTTAAAATACTAGCAAATAGGATGGATGCAAGCAACAATTTGAAGCAACATAGGCAGCTGGACCACTCGACTATGGTCCTGATGTCGTTAGGAGGACTTTCAGTTCGCATGAAAGTGAATGAATAAGGGATTTGTTGGTTAATCTCACCAAATGTGGACGGATGAATCCCTTTGTACTGCAGTCGTTTGGCTTTTATACGATATTCATTTTGACGCAGTCCACAAGACTTTCTCTCTCGTTTCGGGTGAAAACGTGTGAGCTTTAGTCTATCATATGCTGGACAGTCTTAGTCTCCTAAGGTAAATTAGGTATAAAAACAATACAAAATCTAGGTATAATTCTGAGTATTGAAAACTTTCAAAAAGCGAATGTGATTGACCTGCCTGAACAACGATTTCTTGGTTTTTGTATGTAATGACGAATTCCGAAAAGAATGAAAACCGCGCGTACTTCGAAGATATGATGGCATTCGGGATCCGAAAGAAGGACTTAAGGGTCTTCTGCAACAATGTGTAAACAGTGGAGAACTGGAAAAGTGGAAAATGAATGCACTTCTCCAGCGTATGGTATGCCCAAAAATCCATGAGCAAAGTATTCTACTTAAAATTATTGTAAATAATACAGGTAACATGATGCACAAAACCTTACGATTTATATGTACTCAGTTGAATCAAATCTTTTAAACTTGGAAGCTTTCAGTAAAGAACTCCCACAACTTTATTAAGTTAATTGATTATCAGACGATAGAAAGAGGAGATTTGCTGGTAAGTTTCGACGTAGTGTCTATGCACACTAACATTCCGATAAACGAGGCACTGAAGGAGCTAGAATTAACTCTATATCAACACCCTCAAATCATAACAGGTAAAAAGTTAAGCAAAGATTCAATCATTAAATTATTCAATTTAGTAATGTCTAATACATGTTTTACCTTCAATGGTAAGTTGTATGAGCAGATACGGGGTTTGGCCATTGGATCTTGTTTAGCCCATATTTTAGCTAATTACTACGTGGCCCAGTTAGAAGTTCGTGTGTTTCAAGAGACGTTCCTAATTTCCAAGTTATTAGTTCGTTATATTGATGATTACTTTGCTACTTGGCAACACGGCAAAGATAGTTTGGGGGAATTCCTTGAGCTAATAAATAAAACAGATGCAAAGGTTAAGTTTATCATGGAATTATAAAAATAAAATAAATTGCATTTTTTGGATGTTTTAGTGAGCAAAGAAGGTAATAAGTTAGGTAGAGACATATAGGAAATTCACTCACGCGGGTTTCCTTATTAATTTCTTCTCTAACCATACATATAGAGTAAAAATAGCACTTATGAAGTCTATGATAATAAGGAGTCTGAGCCTAGCAGACGCAAACCATAGGGACCTGGAGATTGGTAGATTGAGGGATATACTGTTTCAAAACAATTACCCATTATGATTAGTAGACAATTACATATTAATTGTAGTTAATAAGATTAGGGGAATTTGCTATCAGGTGCGGGATAGATAACAGGACAATTCTAATCGGTTCCTGATTTTACCTTCCTGTTAGCATGCGAAAAGGTTGGGTGATCTACTGAGGAAATGTAGCATAAAAACAATTTATGAAGAGAAATTAACACTTTCTTCAATAGTGCCCTCGTCTAGAGAATTTTCATATCCTCATTCTAGATCAGGTAGTTACTATGTGGTAAGGTACATG